ACTCGTTACTTGAGTCGTTTTTTCTGAGAGAATGGTTCACTTTACAAAGAAAGTGGTAAGGAACTTTTTTGTTCAAAATCGTGTCAGCTACATTTTTGTTTGAAAAAATTTTTTTTCCATGCACAGATTTCTGGGAAATCGATGTTTTCCGTTTTTTACCCCCTTTAGGGGGCAATTTCTGAAGAAGCCCGGGGGTACGAGTGGTAAACTTTTTTGCATCTTTTTTAGGGACTACTAATGTACATTCACACAAAATTTCAGCCAGGTCGAATCATTTTTAGATGTCAGATCTCTGACGACTGGACTAATAGTCGAATCCAAGAAGAATAAGCGACTGTGATTCGCCCATTTCTTATGGCTTAAGGGGATGCTGAAGTCTTCTTTTTTACCGATAAAACAGGCGTTTATGTTCCTTGCGCGGTTCTTCGAATTAGTTGCACAGAATAAAAATTCCTTCTCCACGATTGAAATATCCGTGCTAATGTACCTGCTCCTGGTGTATTTTGTGTCAAAAACTGGGAAAAATAATAAATTACAGATTCCTGTAACCATGTGCTATCAGCTCACCAAACATTTACTTCGTGAAAAAATTATATGCACGTTATATGCTCGAAATTAGGGCAGGAGCACATGTAGAATAAATAGACGATTACAGTCGTATCTTTAGAATTAAGTTTTGACGCCTAAATAAAAAGATTAGCGCAAGGAACGAAATTGTGTGTGTAGCGCGTGAGAAATCGACGATATATGACTGTTTAGCCATGAAACCGAGCAGTATTTTAGTTGATCTCTTTCTAAGAGATGGCGTTGCAATATATTAGATAAGGACAGATGAATGCGTTTGAGTGAGACACAACGATATATAATGAGTATAAGAAATAAATGAAAGATGTCTATTGTCGAATTTGAAATTTAAAAAAGTCTGTACTATCGACCTTGATTAACTTCGACCGTCACTCCAGCTTCCCCTTAAGTCTTAAAACTCTATTGTAGATCCGAGGTAAGGGCTGCCGCACACACCTTCCGTAACAGTAACCATAAGAACGTACCATAAGAATTAGTCAATCACAGTCGAGAATTCTTTTGAACTCTTAATTCTGATTGGCTAATACTTACGGTACGGCTTATGGTTACTGTTAAGGCTATCGCACATGAAATGCATAACAGAGCATAAGCATAACATAAGACCGCTGGACCAATGAGTATCTAGCAAAATGTCGCCATATTGATTTACATAAGATGCTCATTGGTCCAGCAGTCTTATGTTATGCATTTCATGTGCGATAGCCTTTAGGGTATGAGCACAAGGATTGCCGTAACGCTTTACGGCAGTCTTAAGTTGTAGACGTAAGTAACGCCGGATCTACAATAGGGTTTTAAGCCTTAAGCCATAAGAAATGGGCGAATCACATTCGCTTATTCTTCTCGGATTCGACTGTAATTGGTCAGTTTCTTACGGCATAATGCATAAAACACCTATTGTAGATCCGGACTAACGCACAAGCATTGGCGTATGACTTTGACTTATGTATATTGCCATAGGCATTGCCTACGTCTACAACTTAAGACTGCCGTAAAGCGTTACGGCAATCCTTGTGCTCATACCCTTACGGAAGGTATGTGCGGCAGCCCTAATGCTGGATTCACACTGCATCCGATTTGCGTCGTACGATGCTCTACAACCAATCGGAAAACAGGCTTCCGATAGATTTTGCTTCGTATCATCGGAATCCTGTTTTCTGATTGGTTGCGGAGCGTCGTACGACGCAAATCGGATGTAATGTGAATCTAGCATAAGGCCGTAACACACAAGCAGTAAGTGAATTGACCAATCACAGTAGAGACTGTAAGGCCAGTAGCGAATCCAATATTACGATTTTCTTACTGATTATGTCTTACGGTCCTTACATTTTTCTATGTACTTCCGGCTTAAATATACATATGTATTTCATACGCGTTATCATATGGTATGTACTGTCAACTTTTCCCGCAATTACAATAAAATCTCATCGGTTCCATATGTTTTCCAAAGCCATGTTTCGAGTCCACCTTTATCATCAAATTTGATCCCCTTCATTTACTTCATGGTTATAATTAAAGACATAGGCCGGTATTCATAGGCCGGTATTCATAATCGATTCTTATTTCAAGACCGTCTTAAGTATTGTCTTAAGACGCTAATGCGGCCCTCTGATTGGTTCATGACATCTTAAGACTATACTTAAGACGGTCTTGAATATAAGATCTGATTATGAATACCGGCCATAGTCGATTTTTATTTCAAGATCGTCTTAAGTAATGCCTTAAGACGCTAATGCAGCCCTCTGATTGGTTCATGACTTCTTAAGAC